ACAATACAACATATATTCAGGCCCCCACAGCCACTGACCATTGAAGATGTAGGCAGCGTTCAGGGCCAGCTGTCTCTGCTGCAGCACGTTCAGGTAGAACGTTGCCCTGTCCCTCACCTCGTCGTCGCTGTCCATCATGCACCTGTTTGGGGACAAGGGGACAAAGTCAGCTCTGAGAGCTGAGCTAAAAATGGCACTGACAGAACTGCCTTGGGCACTGCAGGGACGGCCACAGCTCCCTCCAGGGATTCTCAAATTGTGCAAAAATGTCTTTGTACAACGCAGGAGTTGGGGTAATTTTGATAGTGGAACCCTGGGAAAAGTTAAAGGTAGAATCTAAAATGTTAGGCTTTGTGTTTCCCCTGATCAACTGCACCTGTGTAAAATAAAATATATATATATTATATAAAATATATTTAAATATAAATATTTAATTATATAAATTATATAAAAATATATATTTTATATATTATATATAAAATATGTATATTATATAAAATATATTTAAATATAAATATTTAATTATACAGAAATTATATAAAATATCTATTATATATATTATATATATAAAATAAAATAAATTATATAATTGTTAGATGTGATGATCGTTTAGCAATTAAATGTAATTATTATATAACCATAAGAATAATAGTGAGAAACTATTATTCTTATGGTTATATAATATATAGTGGAAACTATTCCAACTATGTTGGAAATTCAGAGAGGGGCTAAATTTATGTCTACAATAGAACAATATAAGTTTAATAATTAACATGAAAGTTATGTAACAATAGAGTATAAAACATGATCATTTTGGATGTATGGTCAGAGTCAGATTTGGGTTGAATACACCCCAATTCCCAGAGCTCTTAATAAAAAGCACTGCATATAATCCCCCGTAATATGTATATATTAATATAATATTAATATTCATTAATTAATATTAATTTCATCATTAACACCAGGTGGCTTGAGAAGAAACATGGGAACACCCAGCTCTGGAAACACAAATGTGATTCCTGAGTAACCTGGACAGGAATTCTCTTGCTTCAAGGGTGTTAAAAATGCTCAGGTGTAGAAAAGCTCTGTGGAGAGAAAGTGACTTTTTATATGGGCAGATA